CCCTGTGCTCTGTGATTTTACTTTCTAAAAAAGCCAGTGAATCATCCGTATGCACTGGGGCAACAACAAGCTCTGTGATGTCCTTCAGATCCATGAGAATAAGCCACGCAGGCTCATCTTCAGGTACCAGTGTTCCAACCAAAAAAGGTAAGAACCGGAGCAAGCTCCAATTTTCATGAGCATTCCCCCCCACGGTTTTTGTCTTGGAGAAACGTTGTGACACTATTTGAGGTCTGTTTGTCCTATCACCCCATTTGTAGGGAAACTTCAGAATGGCATTCTTTAGGTAAACTAATGTGAAATACTTTCTTGATATAAAGCACTCTTAAGCAACGAGCTAGCTCTACTGGGATTATACCCTCCAAAACATCATGGGCAAGATCGGGTGGATAACCAAAGATGACATGAAAATGAGAATTTTTTGTGAAGATGCATTCCTTTTTCACTCCACAACAACCTGTACCTGTATCCTGAGCTTGTTTGACATGAGCCTGATGAAGATACTTGGTTCTCAAACTGAAAGCACCCGATGCAACAGAATGTAGCTGAATATCACTACTATTTCCTGTGCAAAATCTGCAGAAGTATTCCACTGAAAAACTCTGCAAAAATCCTGCGACACTGTGTGCTCCCAGGTTGTCAGCCACGACACTGAATACAGTACCTTTAACCGATTCACCTAACAGAGGGACGTAAACACCCAGTTCCTCCAGAGTTTTCAGATCTTGCAGGAGAGGTTCAAAGATCCTATCATAACTATAGGTTTTAACATCTTCGGTTTTGCACAAAATTGACAAGTAGATGGATGATAATGAGGAATGAGACCCTGGAGGCAAGTTAGCTAAGATCCAATAAACAGCACAAAGTTTTGTGCTTCTTTCGTGAAGTACCAAGGGGGTTACAGACTTCAAAGTCATCCACATACAAATTTAGAATGATCCTTGGATTTTCCCCAACAAGAAAAGAATTATCCTTGAATAAGGAACCATCTCTTGAGGACCGGTACTGATATGATATTCCAGAATTTGAGTTCTGTCTTTGATGACCCTCAACAACTTCATCAATGATATCCCTTCTACTTAACAGCTGCTGTAAAGACTTTAAGATTGGGACATATTGGAAACTGCGTTTGTTTTTAGTATCAAGAAAGTATTCAACTGGCTGTACCACTCCAAAGTAATCCTTGTAATACTGCTTACGCAAATATGTTGTACTTAAAGGGCCACCATTTTGTATGGACCTTTGCACAGGATTACCAGAACAAATTGCATCAACAGTTTCTCTAATTACAAGTTCATCAACAGGAAGGTTTCTCTGATGAAAGATGTCCCTCACTATGTCGCACGACAATGGGACAGGTGCAGAACTAATCAAATGATGGAGTTCCCCTAAAAACACATTAAGAGCTGTGCTTGGCACATGAACTAAATGCTCCAACTTCAGCAAAGCAGCTGCAAATCTTTGCTCTATGATTTTCTCCAAGTCCTCAGTATTAGAGTGACTACTTGAGGGAATGGCAGTTTCTGGCTCCTCTACACAGTCCTGACAATTTGCCTCCAATTCATTCACAGATGATATCCTAGTTATAATGACTCCCGGTTTGAAATCAACCAGTCAGTGATGGCAATGTTTACGGTTTTTGTGTGATTTAAATGTGCAATAAATGTTTGTTTTAAAGTCACAGCCTAAAAACATACAATTGACCACCTCATTTCTTTTGAGATGTGCATTTATATGAGCAAAATAATCCCTCTCCGACACAAAATCACTACAAGCACAAAGGTGACAGCTGAAAATTGCACTCTCTTTGGAAGTGGTCTCTGTGGAGTGAACTTGGTGGACAATAAGGGCATTCCAAGTCTTAAATGTGCACGGACAGTCCAGGTATGTACATGGAAAGCGAGAACTACGTCCAAAATGTGGATGCTTTAACTTATAGTGATGCAAAAGTTTGGACCTACTTGACACAGTTTCTGTACAACCCTTACAACTCCACATTCCCAGGACCTAACCCTGTAACATCCAAAAAAAGTCATTAGGTACAATTAAAGCTCCAAATTGAAATTCAGATATAAACAAAATGGTCCACTATTAAACTAGTAACTACACAATTAAAATATAAAATACACATATACTCTCTAGACTAACACTAAACAACTAAATATGTTTTTAATGTTGTTAAATATCCTATTGGAATTGCAACATTTATAATGCAAGCATACATTTTGAATTATGTATTTAAGTCACAGATTTAGGACTTTAGCAGCAATACGAAAGGAAATAAACAGACTTACCCATATAAAGCTTTTGAGTGCGTGTGCAAAGATGACCTATGAAATAAATTATTTAGAATTAGTGAGGAACTCAGCACATAGCTTCACATAATTGAAAGACCACAAACAGACAGAGTGCAATAGAATAGGAGTGCAATAATTCTGAATAGAATATACATATTGCTAAAATATTTTTTGAATGTGCCTTATGTAAGATTTTAAATATGTAAGATAGCAATAACTGTAAAGTGACTATTTTAATGGGGGTTAAATGTAGGTTAATTAATCTGGTCGTTTGTTTGAATTCATTTCGATTTTGTTAAGTTAATTTTTTTTTTTTTTTGCTTTTCAATCCGGAAGAACGAAATTGCTTGGAAAAAAACGCAAAAATAACCAATTTCAAACACCAGTGCGTTCAGTGTTTTAAGAGATGTGCAGCCTGTACATATCGGTTCACATCTCAAAATGTGTTTTGGGGTTTTATGACCCTTTAAGGAATTGCGAGGTGGAATAGCTGCAGATTTCTCTCACGCACTTTGAGCAGTGACTTCATGTCGCATTTGTCTCAGACTGCGCTGATCACACGCATTTAGCGAAATTATTTGCCTTTCGCTGAATACTGCGCTTCAACTGTTTAAAAATCACCTGTTTTTAAACCTCAGCACAGCAACGTAACATGAACGCAACCGCGACAGAGATAATTCAAAATTTATACATCAAAGTTGAGCTTCGAGCGGGAAACTCAACTTCCATAGGAATGAACTAAAAACGTTCGCTCTGCTCCTCGCTTCGATCACGCACTTTTATTGAAAATGAGGTCGACACTCTCAAAAGGCCCTTTTTTGCCATTCGCGAGTGTCAACCTCATTTTCAATAAGTTATGCGTGATCGAAGCGAGGAGCAGAGCAAACGTTTTTAGGTTATTCCTATGGAAGTTGAGTTTCCCGCTCGAAGCTCATTTTCAATGCAGAGCTTTAATCAACATGAGGAAAACAAGATTCACAATATTTAATTTGATGAGAAATACCTCAGTTTCAAAAATACCAGTTGTGCTTAGTTAATGAGGCCGACTGACTGTTTCCACCGACTGAGAGTTAACGTTAGGCCTACGTTGACTCTTGATGCTAAACTAACAGAGGGTGTTAAAGTGTTGATAATTGTACTGAAAACTGTAATCTAGTGGAAATATCACCTAAATTACTAGAAAACAAACATAAAGCAATATGATTAACTTACTTTTTAGAAATTCGGTCAGTGTCCGTCGTCTGAGGCTGCAGAGTCTTGCACAGTTTTGGCGCAAATTGACGGTTGATTCTCTATTTACGGCATTTGGCGCATCCTTCTAATTGATGCATTACCGCCACCTTCTGATCCGGAGTACCCCGGTTGTGTCCAAACAAAATTATATTGATTTCAGTTTTTAATTCAATCAATTTCCATCAACGTGAGAAAAATGTCTAAATACAGCACTTAAAATAAATAAATGAAATCTACTTGATTAAATCATATTCACAAAAGAAACTTAAATGAATTGTGTTGTATATATAAGCTTTATTTGTGTAATTTCAAAGACCTGATATGTCCATTTTTTTCAGTGTATGAATCCAAGTATGAATCAGAATCAGAATAGATTTTATTGCCATTGTCAATGAAAGGTTTCACAGACTAGGAATTTTCTTCGGTGTAGGCTACTCGTGCAACATGAAACATTAACTTTTGCTAATGATAAATAATAAGCAATAACTTAGGCGTAATTTGCGGGTGGGACATGTCCCCACCACTTTTGAAACATCTCGCGGCACGGATGTAACTAATACAAATAAATAAAACATCTCTAGTTAACTAGCAGAGCATTCATTTTGTTCGTTTGTTAAATGAGGCGATCTAGCACACTGAAATGTGTTGTTTTTTAAATCAAGTAATCAAAATGCTCGTTGACTGCGATCTGTGGCGCGGATACAGTGTTCTCTTGTGGCTCACGCTGCCGCGCACAGTCTTCACACGGACGCGCGCTTTAAACCGTTGCAGAGACTCTCTATTTGTTCCGGTGAAATCCCAAAGTAAAATGCACACAAAAGTGTCCCTGCTTCTTGATATACAACCACTGATAAACATAATCGGTTTTAATGAAAAAAAAAAAAGCTATACGAGTGCGGATTAGAACCCAGAACCTCTGACACTCTTGGCAAAAGTTCTACCACTGGAACATTAAAGTACATGCATATAACTGTCGGATCTATGTATTTCTTCACGTGAAAATTCTCGGCACCAACACACATTATATCTCATTAAACGACAAAAAATAAAAAGAATATATCAATCACTCAAACATTGCTTATAGAGCGCTTTTCATACAAGAATGTTCATTGAATTTTTATATCAGATAGTTCCCTTGGAGGGCACGGGCAAAAGCCGGCTTATCCAGTATGGAAATACACACAGACAATGACACGCCCCTACTGCATGCTAGAATCTCCGAAAAACAAGCCGATTTCAACCTCAAAATGTACGCTTTTAAATATACCAATACTGCTATCTCAAACATGGAGAGGCTTCTTCGTGCAGAACAGATTCTGCAAAAAAGCGAAAATCACCAATTTTGAAAAAAAAACCCGCTGCTTTCTCATTTTGCTCGAAAGTTGTGCTGCCGACTTGTGTCACTGGTTTCCGTGACGGGTCACATATCTCAGTGTGTTTTAAGGTTGTGTGTGTCAATTTGTTTTGCAGCACTGATGCCCCTTTTGGACTTATGCACAGTTCAGCCTGATGCTGCAGTGTCTTCTCATGCATTCTTTGGACCTTCAATCCAAACTGGGTAAAGCATTCTATCTCTTGCACACTCTTTATTCATGCATTTAAAGTAGTCAGATCCAAAGATATCTTATTGACACTGTTGTGGCAAAAACAATAATTAAACAAACAGCATCACAGCGTAAGAGACATCAGGATTCCAATTGTACTTTAAAAGATTTATTCTTGCAAGAATAGTTCCCAGTCCAACCACAGTCCAGCTGCAGGCGGAGTGAGACCTCGAGCAAGGGCTGGCTAGCAGTCTTATACTGTTCTTTCTCTTGTTTAGACAAGAGGAACAAAGGAACTTTACGACTACCCCGAAACCAGGGGGTCTTCTCACCTCAGAGGTCACTTGCCCAACCACCTGCTGAGTGTCTCACACACACCCTCTAGCTGTATTAACATAACAACAGAAAACAGAGTCCTCTGTTTCTATACTCAGATCACAGATAAGGAACTAAAATCAATGAGAATATAAAAATTTCCATTACAACACAGAGCCATAGCAGCATGTATGTATGTGATGATGCAGTTATATTTACTTTCGCTGCGCCCTTTAGGCAGCCTCCTGCACTCTCAGAGTTAGTGTCCCTGTATGTGGGCCGCTGTCACAGCCTGTGGAAAGAGGCCGGACAGATGCTCTGGTTGGAGGAGAATGTCAGAAAAGTGCTCAAGAGGGTCGACACACTCGACCCTTATGTGGAGGACTGCCAAAACAAGTAAGAAACCAATTAACACAGTTGTCTTTTTGTGCCTTTTTTAAAGTTTGTGGATTTGCTGATGCTTAATTTACCTTCTCAATATCAGATTACACTTCCATCTTCATCCTGATAGAGTGAAAGGTCATGCTGACCAGGAGAAATATGCTCATGAATGTCTGTCTTTCTCTTGCTCCATTGACATCTGACATCATGGCTTTAACATATTGTACTCTGAATAATAATAATAATGATTATTATTATTATAAAAGTGTAGAGTGATTATGACATACAGAGACTACAAGTCAGATATGCAGGCATTATTAAAAGATCAGGGGCAGCCGACACTTCTGTTGCACACGCTAAAAGTATGCTGAAGCTATGTGACATTGGAATGTCATGTACAGGCAGACAGGGTCTCAAACATTCACATTTCCAACAATGAGAGTAGGCAGAGACCAAGGAGAGGATAGCAATGATCTAGGAAGAAATACAGTACCCGGGGAAGGATAGATCGAGGGCTGTGGAGCTAGCATCCCAGGGAGCCTGCAAGCTTTGTGGGGAGAGGGGCACCATGGCACCATTGGGAAAAGGCCCAATCATGGGAAATTAATGTAGACCTGGGGAAGGCTACGGTTCTCCCAGGTTGTCCAGACAACACTAAGGCCATTTCTGGTTAGGTGGTCTGAGAAGGTGAAGATCAAACCTATGGTCTCATGGGAAGAAGGATGGGGCCAAGCCTTTGAAAGAAAGAGCACCAAATACCCGGAGTCTTTTGCAACGATGTTGGGAAAAAGGATGGCTGTTCCAAGTTGAGTTCGGTTGTAGAGGATTCCCTGCCCAGTCAGTATGGAGAATGTTTATAGCCCTTTGAATGATAGGAAAATAGAAGAGAACAGTTTGAAGTATGGGAAGTGGCAGCAGAAAGAGCCTCTTGCTGGCTAAGGAACAGGAAAAAGGAGCCAAGATGGAAGCCAGGAGGAGGAGATGAGCAGTGATTTGGCCACCTCTGCCGACCCACTAACGGGCGGATGTTATGGTTCAGGATTGAAACACCCAGTGAACGTTGTATACCATCTGACAACATCAACCCCTCCTGGCCAAGGCTACATTCACAGAAAGTGAATGTAGGAGAAGCATCTTTTAGATGTTTTATTTCCATAATTCATATGACAAGATTAAAGATGAAATCCACTTTATAATGATAATAAAAGATAAAAATTTGTGTACATAAAATGCATTAAAAATTATTAAAACAAGTTGCCATTTAAAATGTAAAGTAAAAATATGTTTTTTGCTTACTTTTTGTGTTGGGTGCCTCTTTTTATGCATGTGTGAGAATCTTTGATAGGAAAGAGATTGTGAGAATGTTGATGTTCTTCTGTGGGTCTTTACTGGACAGGAGGAAGCAAAGATACCAGAGTGCTCCCAGGAATATCCATAGACATGTGCTGATGTCTGAGATAAAGGAGGCAACAGCTACTCTTCCTCTAGTAAGAGACATACCTCAGCTACACCTTCATACAGGTGGCAGTAAGAATGCAGTAATCAAAACCTACTCTATTTGACACGACATGTAATTGAGCCATTGTTGATTTGGAAGGAATTTTTTGTGTCGACGTCAAGTCACATTTATTTATATAGCATATAATTTATTTATATAGCATATTTATGTAGCATAGCACATATATTTATATATTATAAATGTTAAATTTAATGTGACTACACAAAACTACATGTGGAGAAACAATGTTTTGGGTAATGTGAATTTTGCTTTAGTTCTGCTATTCTGCACAGATGGATCTGATTTTTTGAGGTGCACTAGTGTTGGTTACAAGGTTACTTGTACATGGTTACAAGTCTTATCAGTGTGAATGTCACTACTCACTAATGACATCAAAAATCCCCCCACAAAATAAATAAAATCAATAAATAACTAAATAAAGATGGATATCTGAAAAATGTCTGAGCATACATGTCACTGTTTTGACTTGATAACATGAATTTTTTAAAAATAAATTATTTTAGTTATATATGGACAGATCAGACGCACAATTATTTGTTATATTTATTAAATAATCCACCTGGGAGTCGTAAGACCCAAGCGGAGTACGAAAAGTTCCCCTTATGACGCTAACCAGGAAAACTGGTGACCTTCCTCGACATCAAAAGAGATGCCATGGGGAAAAATTGCCACATGTGAAACAAAATAGGCCACATGAAAGACTATAACATAACACGCATGAAAAATGGCTTTTCTTCACTTAATTCATAGACAAACTACCCTAGCATGAATAAACACATCTTTTTCCACAGCAATATTACAGATGTGTTAAATCACTGTAGTAATATATGTCTGCATTATGTAACATGTCTTAATTAAAAATGTTCAGTAACTGGAACATTGGATGAAAATATTTCAAAGGGATTTACGTCATTTTGTAGTACATATTGTATTTATCGGCTTTAGAAACATTCCAATAAACTGCTAATAGGGATTAGAAGTGAAAAGGGGAGACAATTGCATTTCAAAGCGTCCTTGTTATAAACCTGAAAACAAGAGATTCTTAGTGCATCTTATCATAACACCTAGTAAAGGTTTAAGTGGATATTTGCATTGTACTTAGTCGTGGAACAACCGTCTGTATGAATTCCTAGATGATTATTTCGATAATCTTTCCTGGAGCTGGCGATGCTCAAGTGAAGAAGGTAGTGTTGAAAGTTGCATTGAATTCTTCTGGGATGAAACGAAGAAAGACTAACTTCGGAGTTGTTATTCTGACTCTGAATATAGGGCCTGGACAAAGTCCTGCTATGTTGAGGCTCCTTTTTCTTTCTTCCCTTCACTACTGGACTGACTGAGATGTTCTATAAGAATAAATAAAGAAATTAGCAATAGCACAAATAAATATAACTGAACAAAGTTCAAGAAATCAAATGCAAAATAACATTGCATAGTTTTATTTTATATAAAAATGGATTGGTTTACAAAATATTTACAAAAGTTATTCAGTCAAGATCAGTGAGTGATTTTCTCTTTGTCCTTTGTTGTTTAATTAACAGCAGCAGGGATATTAAGCTGCTGTCACTTTAAGTACATTCACCTGAGTTTGATTCTGTGTTCACTGCTGACAGACAAAGGCATTTCCTGGAGAGTCTGCCTTCATTGTGTGTCATGGAGCAGTTAAAGACCTCCTTGCTTAATTTGTTATACTGTTTTGGAGTACTTATGTAGTGTTGTTATGTTATAACTTATACATGCAGAATAAGTTTATATCTGGGAGAGCCTGTACTCAAAACTGGTCTGTGGGTTAAACTTTAACAAATCTTTTTTTATATGGCTAAATGCATTTTAGTAAAATGCTAAATTACTAAATGGCTAAATGCGTTTCCATAACCTAAATGCCCATTTTGGCAGACGCGAACCTACAGAAAAATTGCACAAGACTTTCATAAGAATTTTGACATTTTGTTTATAATGAAATTGCAGTCAGGACGTTTTCATTTTATGCAAATTCAAAATTCACATGAAAATTGTTGGAAGGACACCTAGCAAGTGATGGGAACAAAACCTTCACAATGAGTCTGCTGTTCTGTGAATCTGGTTAAAAAGTGATTTTAAAAAAGGTACATATGTAATTTCCCTATATGCAAATATGATTTCGCCTCAAAGGGGTCCTCTCCAAAGGTCCTCTCCAAAATCTCACTATTTCTAAGGAAGTATGGAAATCTCAATAGTTTTCCAAAGAAGCTACCCAGATGCTGGTACAGTCTATTATCGCCTTTATTACTGCAAATTATTACTGGTTGGCAGCCCCGCTTATGCAGCATAACCTCCAGAATACCACAGCAAGGCTGATATTCACCCTTCATAATATTCTTATGTAAATCCTCAGCTGCATTCCAAACACGGGTTCCTTATTCCCACTTAGATCATGTTCAGAATTTTTGTCCTGGCATACAGAGCAACTAACAATCCACTCCCTACATTCAATCTAGTAAAAAATACCAAAAAAAGACCACAATTAATTGTTCACACTGCGGCTTGTTACAACCATACATCCAAACCAACTTGTCCTAAAACACACATGCACACATTCCTGTGTTGATTTTATTTGTGTTAAGTTGGTTTATAAGTAGTACTTCTCTATTAGATAACCATTTTCTGCCCCTCCCCCACTCTCTCTCTCTCTCTCTCTCTCTCTCTCTCTCTCTCTCTCTCTCTCTCTCTCTCTCTCTCTCTCTCTCTCTCTCTCTCTCTCTCTCTCTCTCTCTCTCTCTCTCTCTCTCTCTCTCTTTCTTTCTTTCTTTCTTTTTTTTTTTTACAGGAAGTGACCACACAGCCAGGAATGGGTTTTGACCCTCTCCCTCCTTTGGACTCCATTTTGTCTTACACCAGACCAGAAAGGTACCACCTAGATGTCCTCAAGTTTTCTGCCTTGCATGACATAGGGCTTATAAGTGTTTTAATGAACAAATATGCACAGGTTCATTACCTGTATGAATGACCAACAGTTTTATTTTTCTCTCTCTGCCACTGTTTTAATAACTTAACTTTAATAGCTTAATGTGACATGCAAAAAGAAGTGAAGAATATGGGTGGGAGGTAGGACCAAAATTGGTACATTAGGCAATATGGGAAATTTTATATCACAGTAAGAATAGTTATTTTTGCTGGAATTTCTTTCATTTTTTAAATGTATATATTACATAATCATGTTGTTTATATTATTGTTAGGTTATAAATGAACAGCACTAATATACAATCTATGCACTACTAAATATTTTGGCTTGCTCTGTTAAAAACATCTGAAACTTCATCCTACATATAAACTAAATGTCTATGGAAGCCTCCAATCAGGAGTAGTGGTTTAGAGAAATCATAGACTGATTGAATAACATCAATTAGCTTATTTAAAGGGGTCATATGACGGTTCTAAAAATAACATTATTTTGTATTTCCGTACATTGTTGTTGCTCCTTTATGCCCCGTCTTTCTGAAACGCATAGATTTTTACAAAGCTCATCGTTCTGATAAGCGCTGGTGTGCTCTGATTGCCCCGTGTATTGTGATTGGCCCAAATGCCTTAAACGTGTGGCGGAAATGTCATGCCCCTTACCATATTTGGAACATCAGCTTCCAAAGCAATAATGACAGGTGATAGTGTCGGTACTAGTTTATCAATTCGAGCCCGAATCTGATCCGGAAAATGCAGATGACCAAGCTGATCGATCAACTTTACCAGCGCGACTGGAACAGAACGTATCAGATTGGTAAGGTTTTATTTCATTGGGGACATAATTACTGATTATAATGACTTAGACTGTCTTTTTATGCGCCGCGCTACGGGGGTGAGAACACTGTTAGCATAAAACCATGTCTGCATTTGTGATCGTAGAAACAACATACAAGCGCTACTCTATACTGCTCAAAACTCACGTTTGAATAGTCAGTAGCAAATTCTTAAAATATGAAAACGCACTTAAAGGCAGTGTCTGTGAGTCAGAAGCGCCAAACTACTTGCAAAGATGGAATTGCCCCACTTTTTGAATCAGCCTTTGTGTACAGCCGGCCTTGTACTCTGCCAGGTTCTGGAAACAGTCCTCCGATGGAGGAAATGCGCAGCACGCAGTCGAATATTTTGGTTGTACTGTTCTGGAACAGTTGTAAATAAAGCTTAACCACTGTTTTCTAATTGTGTCCTCTTTTGGAAGGCCAAAGAAAGTAGTTTGGCTTTCGCAATGAAAAACACAGCATCTCCACGACATGGCGGCAACAATAATAGAACGAGAATAAAAGTTACGTCTTCTTTCTTTGCGATTACATTTGGGAGGTGTTATCAAACTCTGCCCCCACAGACTGATGTAGATTTGTGGGGGCGTGTTTGAATGAGGCGTTTTAGGAAGGCGTCGCTGAGCCTTGACTTTTACAAAGAATCTCTCTTTGGGTTTGAGGCTTTGAGCTTTGTAACTCTGCAAATCTTATACATGCACAAACAGCTGCATAACACACTAAAGAAAAGGGAAAACAAGAAATTGCATCATATGACCACTTTAAATTGACAGACTTAATTCCTTTGCACTCTTTACTTTTTAAGAGAGAACTTTTTGAATAACTGATTTTTTTAACATTGGCTCTTAATCACAAGACTGATGTGTAAAAGGGTCTGAATAATTTCTGAAGGAATTGTAGATCAATCTATACTCCATAATGACAAAAGAAAAACTAGATATATGATAACTTTGCAAATGTAAAAGAAAAAAAAAATGAAATACTGAACTGAAATCTAACATATTCTAACAGCGTTGCTTACTAGTAAATAAATCATATCAGTTTTGACCAACAATAAAAAGGGATATTTAATAATAAAAAAACTTTTAATTTTGATGTATTAAAATGTGTCTTTTTTCAGGCAGAACATGGGGGCCTCAAATGAAAGCACATTGTCTTTGTTTTTCCGTTCACTGCTACCAAACTTCAACCTGCAGGTGAGTGAATGTGCCACAGTATGTCCAAGCACAATTTACTTCTGTTTAGAATTTTCAGGTGGTGTCTTATGTACATTGTCACAAAACATTGTCACAAAAGTGTATAAACATTAGTGAGCCGGAGTCATGTGACGCAACATGGCGGAGTAGTCGTATTTCTGTGAAGCTGTAGTGGAACCAGAGGTCGCGTTAAAATAAAAATGACGGATAAAAATAGGTCCGATCAGTGCAAGATAGGGGTGTAACGGTTCTCGATAAAAAACAGTTCGGCATCGATGGATGCAAATGCTGACCCCCCAATAATACATTACAACAGCGAATAGCCACAAAATGTGAACAAAATGGTCACTCACACAGAGAGCTTGTGCACGCTGTGAGAAGATGTGTGTTTGTGCACTCATCTGAAGCGCAAACACGTCTCAGACAGTGCGAAATATTTGCGCAGACAGTGCGCAAATATTGATCTCTCTTTTAAGTCTTGCGCTTGAACGGACAAATTCACAAAAAAATTATGTCAACATGCCCGTCTTGATTAGTATCCTAGCCGACATAGTCTGTTATGCCTTAAGTAAACTTACAGGTGAAACTCGAAAAATTTGAATATTGTGCAAAAGTTAATTTATTTCAGTAATTCAACTTAAAAAGTGAAACTAATATATTATATAGACTCATTACATGCAAAGTGAGATATTTCAAGCCTTTATTTGTTATAATTTTGATGATTATGGCTTACAGCTTATGAAAACCCCAAATTCAAAATCTCAGAAAATTAGAATATTACATGAAATCAGTAAAAAAAGTATTTTAAATACAGAAATGTCAGCCCTCTGAAAAGTATAATCATGCATATGTACTCAGTACTTGGTTTGGGCCCCTTTTGCAAGAATTACTGCCTCAATGCGGCGTGGCATGGATGCTATCAGCCTGTGGCACTACTGAGGTGTTATTGAAGACCAGGATGCTTCAATAGCGGCCTTTAGCTCTTCTGCATTGTTCGGTCTCATGTCTCTCATCTCTCTCTTGGCAATGCCCCATAGATTCTCTATGGGGTTCAGGTCAGGCGAGTTTGCTAGCCAATCAAGCACAGTAATCCCATGGTCATTGAACCAGGTTTTGGTACTTTTGGCAGTGTGGGCAGGTGCCAAGTCCTGCTGGAAAAAGTCAGCATCTCCATAAAGCTTGTCTGCTGAAGGAAGCATGAAGTGCTCTAAAATGTCCTGGTAGACGGCTGCGTTGACTCTGGACTTAAAGCACTGTGGACCAACACCAGCTGATGACATGGCTCCCCAAACCAACACAGACTGTGGAAACTTCACACTGGACTTAAAGCATCTTGGATTGTGTGCCTCTCCATTCTTCCTCCAGTCTCTGGGACTTTGGTTTCCAAATGAGATGCAACATTTGCTCTCATCAGAAAAGAGGACTTTGGACCACTGAGCAACAGACCAGGGCCCGGTTCCCCGATAACTCTTAGCGCGCTAAGAAGACTCGAAAGATATATCTTACCAAAGTTGTTTGTTCCTAAGTGTGTTCCCCGAAGTGTCCCTTAGGAAGCTTCTTAACACGCTGCCTCTTACGTTTGACGTTACAAAGGCGCTGTCCCCAGTGAAGGTGCTGAATTAGTTGGCATCAATTGCTCAGGAATCGATTTTCCACTTCACGCGAAGGTGCATTACGGCGTTAAGAAAGACAACACGTTCTATGCAAATGAAACATTCCTCAAATTATTCCAGTAACATTTATTTTAACAGTTTTTAATTTATCAGTAAAATATAGACTATTAATTAAATTATCAAATTGTCAGTAATATGTTCACACGATATGTTGTGACGGGTAGACGAACCGGGTATCCCTCGCTAATCATCCACCCTCCTTATCCCGTTGTGCCACTTGTGCCTCTTCTTGACATGGGTTTAACGACTTCTAAAAATTATGTAATACACTTTTATATTAACTCTTTCCCCGCCAGCATTTAAAAAAAAGTTGCCAGTCACCGCCAGGGTTTTTGACGATTTTCGCTAAACTTTAATGGCCCGCAGAATATTTTCTTCTATGAATATATGAAGATGCTATATATCAAAATAAAGATCTGAGCCTCTGCTTTTAAACAAAAAAACTATTTTATTTTATCTTCATTTGTTCTTTTTTTATAGCCACTTGAACAGAGGTAGGTTTTGTCAAAAACAATTTTTTTTACAAAAAGCTGAGAAAAAGGCATTTTTATCAAACAAGTGCATTTTCAAGCAGAATACATTCAGATGTCGTTTCCTTCATATATAAAACCTTCCAAAATAAATTAAAATTATAAATAAATGTAAAATATATCAAATTTAGGCAGTGTAATTTGCTTTTGAGTGGTACACGGAGTAACATTTCCCAGGATGTAAGGGGACTCCACAACTTTTGCAGTAGAACGAGGTCTCCTTCCGCAACCCCTTACGTACACAAACTCTGCATCCTCTGGTTGGGTGTTGCTTTTTGGGAGTGGGCAGGATTGGAACAAGTTCATGAACAGCAAAACTGACATTCAGCTGGTTGGTTGGGTCAGTGTTGTATGGTGCTCTTGGAGTGTTTTCAGTTGGGGGCTCAACACTTTCCTCCCCACCACCAGCATACTGTTGGCTGGTCCATGATTTTATAACACTCTGAATGAATGAGAGAAGAGTGTTACAATTACCCTGTGGGTTTTTCGCTTTGTAAATGACAAAAGCGTTGAACAAACTGATCTGAAACAGATACATGACAAATTTCTTCGTCCACTTGTGTGACTTCCTGATAAAAGGGTAGTACACAATGTTTTGGTCTAGTTTGTCAACGCCATTCATTTCATGATTGTATTCCACAATGCATGCTGGTTTTTGCTTTGCAACTTTTTCTTGGTGGCCTCTCTGCCATACCTCAACACGTTCCATGTTGTTCTGATGGAATGTTGTGACCATTTTCACTGTTTGTTTGTCTCTCCATGCCAAGACCATCACATTTTCTTTGTGACGCATGATTGTTTCCCCAATCCTAAGGTCAGCATTTCTGACATCTCGAATGACCGGCGGTTCACCTCTGTTTTTCCTAATTGTACCACATACATGGGTTTTCATATCAAGTAGGCGCTCACACAGTCGTACAGAGTTGTATAAGTTGTCCATAAACAATCTGTAGCCGTGACCTACTAGGCGATCAAGAAGAGAGACAACCGTGTCTCCCAGGGCAGCGCTTTCCCCACAATAGGGCTTCATGTTAAAACAGTACCCTGTATCAGAATCGCACAAGATGTAGGATTTTACTCCATATTTGATGGGTTTATGGGGATTGTACACCCTGAAAGCTAGGCGCCCACGCCACAGAAACATCCCCTCATCAATGCAAATGTTTGACTTGGGCTGATACATTTTGCGGAATTTGGACACAAGGTGATCCAAGACAGGGCGGATTTTGTACAGCCTGTCAGTACAATTGTCTGGCCTTGTTGTATTATCATTGAAGTGAAGAAATCTCCATATGATTTCAAACCTGTTGCGAGGCATGACCTTGTTGAAGTAGGGGGTAGCTAACATGTCATCTGTACACCAATACATATCAAGTTCAGGCTTATGAATGATACCAGTGAAAAAAAGGAGCCCCATGAAAGTTTTCATTTCTGAAACTGTGACAGGTTTCCATGCATGATATCTAGCATGTTGTGAAGTGTCATCCATAGCCTGAATACACTGATCTGCATACAGGTTGGTCTGATCAACAATGTTCTGAATCAGTACATTAGAAATGAATAACTCAGTAAAGTCTACAGGTTGTTCTGACTCAAGAGCAGCAGCATCACCGATAGGCCCAGGATTCTCAGTGAAGGGAATGTTTTTTGGCTGCCAGTTAATTTCATGCCACTCGGGATCATCAGGTTCAGCATCTTCAGCTGGATCAGGATGGTTCACAGTGGCCCTTGTTTGGTCACCAGCAGCACCGTGTTGATGTACTTGACACATCCGGCCTCTGCCTCGCTGTGTTCTACCTGTAAATAATTATATGAGTAATTGGAATTACTCTCAATAAACAGACCTAGATACACACACATATATATAAATACATATTACAATGTGGTAAATGTGCACAAAGAGAGAAACAATTTGGCCATTATACGCTCATATTTACAGACACAGCCACACATAAATGCATGCACACTCACACACAAATATTATAGTGTGTATATATATATATATATATATATATATATATATATATATATATATATATATATATATATACAGTGCCCTCCACAATTATTGGCACCCCTGTTTAAGATGTGGTCGAGGACTTCTAAAAATTCTCCTTTTTTAAAAAACAACATAGAACCCAAATGCAAAAAAAGAGAAAAATCCAACCTTTTATTCAAGTATACTACTTTGGTGGTAAAAAAAAAATCACACATTAAAAAAAAAAAAAAAAACTTGAAATCATGTGTCCCACAATTATTGGCACCCCTAACAATTCCGCTGAAAATTTTAATTGATTTTTTTTTAAAATATATTTTTCTGTAGTTGCTAAAGTTGGTCAGGGTATCTAGGAACTTTTCATTAGTAATTCATGACTTCCTGTTTCCCTGGGTATAAATATGACATGACACAGAGGCCTAATTCTCTTACCCATTTGTCAACATGGAAAAGACAGGAGAACACACCATTCAAGTAAGGCAGATGTGTGTCGACCTTCATAAGTCAGGCAATGGCTACAAGAAAATAGCCACTCGCCTTAACTTGCCCGTATCTACAGTCAGAGGAATCATTAAGAAGTTTAAAACAACTGGAACAGTGACAAACAAGGCTGGAAGAGGTCCCAAGTTTATCTTGCCACAACGCACAGTGAGGAGGATGGTAAGAGAAGTAAAAAAAAGTCCTAAGCTCACTGTCACAGAATTGCATCAAAGAGTGGCATCTTGGGGTCACAAAGTCTCCAAAACAACCATCAGACGCTCTCTACATGCCAACAAGCTGTTTGGGAGGCATGCAAGGAAAAAGCCTTTTCTCACTAACACTCACAAACGTAAATGTCTGGAGTTTGCTAAGCGTCACTGGGACTTCAACTGGGATCGTGTGCTTTGGTCAGATGAGACTAAGATTGAGCTTTTT